GGCCGCCCCTAGGGCCGGGTGGGGGCCCCCCGCCCCACCCCGCGCCAGCGGCTCTCGGGCAGCCGCAGCATCGCTCCGGCACACGCTCTGAAGCGGTACCGGGGGCAGCTGTGCCTCCTGCGCCCTGCTCCTCCTCCGACACGAGGCATCCGTTCCAGGGCGGCTGCCCCGCTGGGCACGCCACCACGCCTGCATGCCCAGTCTCCGCTGCCCCCTCGCCCCCGCAGCCCTTTCTGCTCTTGGACCCTGCCCGCCCCTTTCTGGCAGACCGCTCCGCCGGCAGCGTGCAGGCGGCCCGCAGGAGCCGCCGGGGCCGCCGCCCATCCAGGGCGTGCTCAGGCTGCGTGTTCTGAGCGGGACACCCCACCGCCTCGCGAGTTCCCGCTCCCCCCGCAGCCTCTGCGAGCCCGAAGCTGCCTTTTACAGACAACACAAATATTCCTTCTGCGTCTCAGTCACCCATAGCTAAAGGGTGCAACACCATCGCTTTGTATTGGTTCCCTCGAGGTTCCCAGAGAAGCTAGCGAAGCCCAAGGCCGGTAAATCAGCAAATCGTTCAGTGTTTCCTAATGGCAAAGCGGTCAAGGTCAGCTTGCAATGCCCAGCTGAAGGAAGAAACTAAGTGGATGCGAGTTAAGAGAGGACAGAAGGGAAGAGCTGTTTATGCTCAGCAATTGGGGGAAAAAAAAAAACCAAATTCAAAAAAAATAATTATAATCAAGCTTCTTACCCTGGAGCCTCATCTTGGGCGCTGACATGTGAAAGACATGGCCCAAACTTGCTGAAGTTCATACGCTGTCAAAGGAAGAACTAATCCCACCTGGCTCTGCTCATAAGCCAAAGGCAAGGCTGCTGCTGTACAAAGCCACCAAAACAAGACCTTCCATGTGGTCTTTCCAGAAGAGAAGCGTGTGCCAACACGAGGAACCCACCTGGCAGCGGACTCCTCGGGAACACGTGGCAGCTCACAGCTCTCATCCATAGCAAGTTGAAGTTCACGGGGAGGCCTGGTCTTCACCTGATCCTTGAGACTACCTCAGAGGTCGCAGAGGAAGGAAGACAGACTCCCTGATGCAAGTCAGTCTGGCACAAAAAGACTGTAGCAATCACTGCCCTTTCCTGATACATCAAGCTTTTCTAGATTTCAAATCAACATCATGGAGCTTTTACTAAAAGCCACTGATTTTGTCTTGGTTTCTGCGTAAGTTCTCGATGCCAAAAGCATTCACAAATGCCGATTCGTGTGCATCGTTGTCCTGGTTTCGGCAGGGATAGAGTTAATTTTCTTCCTAGTAGCTGGTACAGTGTTTTGGATTTAAGAAGAGAACAAAGTTGATAACGCACCGATGTTTTAGTTGTTGCTAGGTAATGCTTACACGAGCCAAGGACTTTTCAGCTTCCCATGCTCTACCGACTGAGAAGGCTGGAGGTGCACAAGAAGCTGGGAGGGGGCACAGCCAAACTGGCCAAAGGGACATTCCATACCATGTGACGTCATGCTCAGTACATAGACTGGGGAAGGCTGGCCGGGGGGGCCGCTGCTCAGGGACTGGCTGGGCATCGGTCGGCAGGTGGTGAGCAATTGTACTGTGCATCACTTGCTTTGTATATTATTATTATTA